TATAAAAAAAATTAAATCAAATTCAAATTTTTAGGATTCCTTAAAGTATACAAATTGTATTTTTGTTTTTTTGAGTTTATAAAAATTTTTTTTTTTATTAAAAAAGCTAGATTAGCATTCAGAAATAAAGATATTTCTATGAAAGAACTTGATTTTGATCGTTCAATTTGTACGACAGCTATAAGCTACAGTGCTCCGATCTGGAAAGTTTCTTCAGATCTTTAGGTGTTGTTTTAGAAAATGGTCGTGTCAAATCTCGTGAAGTTATATTATGAAAAAAAAAAGTATTTCTTAAACGTTCAGTTTATATGGCAGCCATATCTATAGTGGTCCGATATCGGCGTTTACGAAAAATGAATAGCTTTTTGGGAAAAAGGAAGAGTGCAAGTACAGAACGACATCTCATGAAGTGAGGTACTAGTTTGCTTATATACTGACAGACGGAAATGGCTTTCTCATTTCCATATACACTTCATATATGAAGCTTGTTACACCTTCATATAATGTTCAGGGTAAAAACATAAAATATTTGCTATTTTTACTATTGCTATGAGCACTTTGTTTAAAAAAAAATGTACAAAATGTAAGGAACGTAGTCATATTCGAAATAAAATTGCCTTTGAAGTTAAAGTTGATTGTTTTTCACTTTGTCACATATACATATATATATCTGTCTCTTATACACATCTAGATGTGTATAAGAGACAGATATATAGTATATGTACAAATTCTTAAAAAAATTTAACTCTTACCCTGAATGCCAGAGCTAACATGTCTTTTGTCGTGTTGCAGGAGTCCTTGAAGTATTCAATGACTTCACTAAAAATACCCAAACTATTGGGCATCACTGAGGAAATTTTCGAAACGGATGCTTGTGAATCCAGTTCTAGGAAATTTTGTGCTTGGCATTTCACATATTCACAGACCTGCAAGACAAATTAAAAGAATTTTAGAAAAATTTGAGGTTAAAAGTACTAACAAACTTCAGCACCACGTCTTAGGTAGGTAGTTAGGGTGAATGTCTGACGACGCATAATGACTCACATGATTGCAGCGGCTTGTGTAATCCTGCTGCTGCTCTTCCATAATTTTCCACGGCAATACCAAGTAGCCTATAAGGCTTATATAAATATTGGTAATGGCTTGACGTGGTAAATGCGTCAATTTTAGGCCAGCTTGCATCAGCTGCATAACGAACATTGTCTCCAGTAACCGTTTCGGTCTTATCACAGTCGAAATACACAACAACAGTTGGCCTGAAAATGCAAACAAATAATTGTGAAATTGATTTTAATTTTTTTTTTTTTTATTAAAAAATAGACTTACTTGCGGATATTGAAACAATGGGCGCTACCGTTACATTATTCGGCAATAAAATAGCGCCAAGTGCATCAAAAAGACTTTGTATAACTTCATCGTATTTGAGGTTAATCGACATCGGTAATATGCTGTGTATCGCCATTATTATTTGAGCATATCTGTAAAAAATATTAATAGTAAAAATTTTATTAATAATCAGAATTCTTTGGTTTTCCATTGGCAAATACTTACAAGTAATCAAAATCAGTCTGGAACGTCGATTTGTCTAGATTGAGTGTTGCTATTTTGTTGCTAGTGAAGAATTTGAGCAATGTCAATAGATTTTCGGTAAGCAATTTTAATTGACTGGTTACTTCTGCACCAACTTCCGGCGAATTGATGTCCAACAGTGGTGATAAACGCACCACGGCCTGGCACACAGTTGATAAATCACGCAGATGCTCGTTAAAACTTTGCGATTTTAGTTTTCTGCCTAGTTCATATAGTTTGCCACTATCGAGATCACTTTCTAGAGACAGTAGGTAGACATGAGGACGCGACCAATGCGCCGATACTTGTGCGAAAACAGCATTCGGTCGAGATTCGCCTACCAGAGCTATACATTCAATGCACTGCGACAAGAATTGCTGCCACTCGGTTTGCGTCTGGGGTAAACGAGTAGAGATTATGAAAATAAGTATGTAAACAAAGGCAAAACCGATAACGCCTTATATTTCTAAATAAAATAATTCTAAGTTATTGCTTTAAAATTGATTTAGACTAGTTCAAACCCGACCATGCAAGTTTCGGTTTAGACAAGTTTTTAAACCATTTAGCTCAAGCTAGGCTGAATTTTATTCACATTTTTGTTTAAGCTTAAAGCTAAAACCTGCATAAACAATTTATTTATATTAAAAACAGTTCAAAACAGACAAAAATTTCGACCAGTTTCTCGACCAGTCTCAAAAAATATTTGTTTTTCTCTATGACTTTTAGAAACGATTAAGCTTTATTTCTAGTATCTGCTAAGTCTATAATTGTAGAAATTATATTGTGAAAAATTAATTTCTAATGAAAAGCAGTCGACTAAACTATATATGTATATTTAGCTGATATTTTATAATTCTTCTTTATATTAAAAATTTTGATACGTACGTTTTCTTCAATCAGCTCATTGTCTAAAAGCTCCAACTCAGATTTGTTGAACTCAAACAATATGCGACGCATAATCTCCACGACTAGTTGATACAGTACATCATTGTATCGGTTTTGTTTTGAGCTCAACATAAGTCCCTTTATAATTGGAGTCCATATTTCCAGCTTCTCCATAAAATCTAACGCACCATTTTCTAAAGAAAATAAATATTTGTTTAAAAACTTATATTATAGCTTTTGCTATAAATCACATTAGACATTTCTTACTTGAAATTGTACAACAATAAAGCGATTTAAGGAATGACTCCAATAACTCATTCTGTTGAACCATTTTCGACCAATATCGATCGGTATATAACCGCAGTAATTCCCTAAATTTATCAGCGTACATTTCACTTTGATGTTTTGTAGTGTTATGTTGCTCCAAAAGACCATTCACCCCCGACATAATGGTTAACGCGTGGGGCAACGGCTTCTGCAGATACAACAGCTCGTTCAGCACTGATAGTGCCGCCAAAGAGATGTCAGGCTGGGTGGCACGCCATTGCGCCAAGTCTAAAATGCTCATAAGAAAATATTCTGAGATCAATTCAGTTCGTGTCCATGAAACGAGATGTTGCACACATGTTAGAAGCTCCAATACAGCGGAACTATACAAATAATAAATCATTGAAATTGATTAATTGCGATTATATTAATAGTTTAGGAGATTGTTACCTGAGTTGATTGTCATTTGGCAGCGACGTGGTTAGGGCATAGTCCACTAAGTTATTAGGTAAGGAATGGATGTCTTTATCGTTGATATGGTACACCGTTATTATTAAATATTTAGTCAGTAAGTCCAGTATTTCGGGTATACACATGGATATGCTGAACACAGAACACAAATGAATTAAGAACATACAATGAATCAGAATTGTATTTAATAAAATAAGTTTTTTAAAGAAATTAAACAAGGGAGACATTTAGATTTGAACCACTGGACAAAACATATATTGACTTTATCAAAACAATGTAACCTAATCTAGAGAAGAGCCATAAATTTGTCTTACCAAGAATTAAAATAGTTTTGGCGCTCTGTTGTCACGCAGTCACGATTGTTTAAGACTTCTTCCGATGTGATGCGCAGCAGAGTAACACCAAGTATAAATTTATCCGAACGTATTAATTCTAAACAGTGTATTATATAGCTGGGATGGTCGTCGGGGAACTCACGCTTCCCAATGAGCGCAATCAATTGTGCGAAGGTGTCCCGTTGTCGTCGCTGCACACTCACGACAGATAAATTTGCGTAGGTATTCCATAATGTTTCTCGCAATAAAGTTCTCTCGTTTGCAGTCAAATGTGTCCAACGACGTGAAATCCAGTGCTCTAGCGTTGATGTACTGAAAAACCAGAGATACTGATTTGTCTCAATAGAAGCAGCCACCTGCAAGCTTATTTGCCAAGCACTTGCTTGTCCCCTGAAGGCGATTAGTTCAGTTTCTATTTCACGTTTACGTATATTAGGCGTGGCTGGTTGGTGGAATTCTTGAAGTAGTGCCTCTACCACAGCCAAAGAGGAAGACTGCAAGGAAACCATTTTATAGATAAAAATCAATGCGTTTCAAATATAATTTAGACATAGCTGGACCTAATTTGTAGGAAGAGTGATCCCTTTTACTACAGAACCGAGCTGCTGATAACGCCTGTTACTCACCATTTTCTGGTATGTCGCGGTGGCAGTCAATCACACTATTAAGACGTTATCTAGTTGTGCAAAGTTCTTCTGATTCTTATAATAAAACAGTCTTTTAATTCAAAGTGCCCATAACAGTTTTCCGTTGGTACTACTCTGTAAAAAATTTTGTCGTTTTCCGAAAAACATTGAAACAACGAAATCGACGAAATCATAAAAGACGAATACTGCGGCAGAGGAGGTAATTTGACGTTTATTTATCCATTTTAAGTAGGGATAGACGTTGAACAAATGCGAATGCCGAATATCTAAATGTTTGCGCAAACTTGACGTTTTAAAATTCAGTTTTTTGGAGAAAGGAGTCCACCTTCTTGAATTAATCTAACTACTTAGTTTAACTGTTAGATAAAAGCTCTTTATGATTTATTTAATTCAACTAATTATGGTAATATTAATCACAAAAATATTGTATCTCCTCTGAAATTCGTTGATCAGCTGATTTTTTGAGATGCCAGATTTTTTCCTATGAAATGTCTACTTTTTTTCTTAATTGGGCAAGTCTGTGTTAATCGAGACACAGTCAGATATCGAGAAGAAATAATGTGAAAAGTCGGAAAATATAAATAAACTAGAATATTTATTCAAAATTTACCATGGAAGGCGAGAAAATTTTGATGGCCGCAGGTGTAACAGTTGCAGCAGTTGTCGGTGCATTTGTTTTCTGGGGTCCTTCGGGTAAAATTTATTCTATACACCGTCGAATACGCCGATATATAATATCATTCTATCTCCCTTGATGCAAAACTAAATATAGGTTCGTCACGTTTACGACAGCGGCGAGGGCAAATTGCTGGACTGCATAACTTTGGTCAAACATGCTTCTTAAATACGTTGCTGCAGGCATTGGCGGCCTGCCCTCAATTTATAGCATGGCTTCAATTATATAATAACGCCACTTCCGATCGAAAGAGCCTGATATCATCACTTTTGAACACACTTGAAGTAATAAATGGAACACATTCAACTTTGCGGGGTGACCCATACTCGCCCGGAGCGGTTATGCGTGCGCTTCATGCTTTAGGTTGGGTAATACCACAGGAGGAACATGATGCTCACGAATTGTTTCATGTGCTATTAGCGTCTCTGGAAGAAGAGGCTTTGAGGCCAAAGAAAGTTGGTTGCCTCTCAGATGCATTACCAATTACAGTTTCGGGTGGTGAAGGAGATCAACCAGATAGGCCATCCAGTGCTATGTTAACCGATTTTTTAAATACCGATTACGATGAATCAACTAATTTAATGCGCATGGTACGTTCTGAGGCTCATACACCAGATTCGCCATCATCAGTGTGCGAACGTGAAATGTGTCCTGGTGAAGGAGGTGCAGCTGGTACATCGCCAACAGAAATAATGGACTTTGATCCATTAGCATCGCCAATATTGGGTGGCGAACGAGCCAGTCGTGCACGAAAACCCCAATTAACGAAACATGGGTGGCCAGAAGGTCTAAACAAACGAGTTTCCACATCTTGTCGATCATTGGAGCGTCTTAGTCGTGGTCCCGGGAGAGTATCTGTAAGCATAAATTGCTTTTTCAAAATAATATAATTTTTTTTAAATATTCTCCCTTAGATATGGTCTGATCAAATGCCTGCTCAAGTAGCCATACCCTTTCAAGGCGCTATGGGTACACAAATCGTGTGTAATGGTTGCGGTTTCAAAGTATGTAGAAATTAAAGAACATAACGGTAGCATCTACACTTAATTTTTTTTTACTCTAGTCCACTGTTCGTTATGACAAATTTGATAGCATCACGTTAAATTTGCCATCACAACGTCGTTCTGGTCTTAGTTTGGGACATTTGCTGAGTGAATATATAACATCGGAGGAACTGAACGATGTAAAATGTGAATCATGCAACGAAACATCTAACCATACAAAATCTTTGACATTTGCCAAATTGCCCGGTTGTCTTTGCATACATATTGCTCGAACAGTATGGCTGCCCACAGGACAAATTTGCAAGCGTCAAGACTATGTGCATTTTCCTGAGAGTTTGTCAATGGCACCATATAGTTTCGTACAGCCTCATTTGAACAGCAATGTGCGTATGACATAAGCTAATTTTTGAATACTAGCATATAATATTTTACATTATGAATAATATAGGCGGGCACACCATGGGGTTCCACCATGTCTCTCTTCTCATCGAGTCTACCCATGAACAGTTTGGGCGGCAGCGCTCACGACTCGTATGGAACTGCGTTTGGTACAATGTTTCCCAAAAACCTCTACCGACTTTTAGCTGTGGTGGTACATTCGGGTGAAGCGAGTAGTGGCCATTTCGTTACTTATCGTCGTGGTGCTTTAAGGAATGCTCATCGGTAAGTACTCTTTATTTAATGAATAGTACTACCTTGATTAATGTGTTGATTTTACAACCTCTCAGTTGGTTCTACACCTCAGATACTGTTGTACGTGAAGTCTCAATAGAGGAAGTGCTTAGTGTACCAGCTTATTTACTATTTTATGACCGCGGTCCCCAGCGACGCTAAGTGGTGATACTGATTGGGTGGGTACATACTTATTTTGATACCATTGATGTGAAGGTTATAGTTTCTAATGTTTCTATTAGTTTAAGTTTATTATCCACTAGTGTAGAAGCTTAGGAAATGCAAACAGAAACAAATTTAACAGATAACTCCAATTGCCTGTGGCATTAAATGTTTACCTATTCGATGTAATGGTACAAAAGGCTATTTCATTGTAACAATTTTGGGATCTCTGCTAAATATATGTATTTATTTATGTGTGTAAGTCACCTTCACCTTCATTCATTTGGCGTTTTATATTTCTTTTTATATAATTATTATCTAAGTGTTATGTAAAACAATATCTCTGCTCAATAATTTCAAGTGCCATTTTGACTAGTCGATCTTATTATGGCTTGTGCTAGATTTTCATACGGATATCGATAGTATATAATTATTTGATATTACAAGTTTAGAGCGCTTTAATTTTCTAGCAATTAAGAAAATGGAAAATTATAAAAAAAAAAAATGCATTTACCGACAGTGAATTGCGCTTAGTTACATTTAATTTTAAATATAGTATTCTCATCAGAAGAAGCATTTGTTGTTCAACTACTTAATCTTTATGTAAGTATTTAAAGTATTTTCGGAATCAATTTTTGGGGTTCAAATAAATATATACGTTTTATAAATAATAAAAGCGGAAATGTATTATATGTTGTTTCAATAGCCCATTCATACATATGTACATACCTATACATATGTGTGTATATATTAAGGAAATGTAATTTACATGTGTATATGTACGAGTAAAGTTTATTCAAAAATATCGATCAATCATAACACAAAGTAATAACAAATAGTAAAGCATTCAGCATACATTGATACATTATTAAGAAGAAAGGTAATACTCCACGATATAAATAAATAAGATTCTTACCAAATTAAATAAACTAAAATTTCGTTTGCTTTTTCGATGGTGGAATTTACTTTTCAATCTTCTTGCTGCCATTAATCATTTGCACATAGCTACCATAATCTGTTGCATATAAGCTATTAGATATGCCGGAGAGTTTTTGCGATTTACTGAAGTCTTGGCGGTTACGTCTTGCTGCCCGTATGGGCATCCAAGCCGTCACTGGACTCTCATTTGTTTGCATAATGCTGCGCACAGCTAAATTGAGTGCTGTCAGTGCTAGGACTTCCTCACGATATTCGGTGATAATGTTGTCGGCGATGCTCAAAGCATTGGCTGCCTCAACTACATGTTCAATTTCTCTAAAATGTGGCAAATAATTAGCGTGTATTAGATCAATAAATCGTTTTGGTTCGGAGGCAAAACTGTCGCTTATATCTTCTGGTTTGTGGGTGAAGTTACCGTTGGGCAAACCTATGAAATAATGTACAGTAATAATAAGTAATTGTCTAAAATCTACATATAACTTTTAAATTACGTTTAGGATTAAACACTCTTCCCAGGGCGTGCAGCATTGTAACAGACTCATCGCGCCGAATAGTTTTTAATGTGGATAATTTCTTTTTAGATTTTCCTATAATTTCACAGGAGTCTACACGCTCAGTAGGTAAAGCTCCTGCTCCTAAATAAAATAGAATTCAAGAATGGTTATTATATTGATTTGCTTCCTTTTTTATTGGTTTACCTTTCAAGGAAGCAAAATGTAGATTTATGAGTGCGTTTCGTATATCACCTTGCGCTGCAAATACAATTGAGTCTATTATGGTTTCTGAAGGTACTTTATAAGTATCAGAGAACTGTTGTTCTCTCATTAACGCACAAAATCTCTTCATGGCCTTTTGCAGTAAAGTGACCGCAATTGGATTGAAACTAATATGGTGAATGTGGTACTTATTTTTTAACTCTTCGGTAAACAGATTATAACTTATATTTAAGGAACGACCTTTTGAATCAGCTACAATGAATAAAAGCGGTGCTTTTCCATACTTTGAAAATTCTCTGCAATATACAAGTTTAAATAGTTTGAAATTTGAAGAACTCAACAATATTTGTTTGTATTATACATAACTGACAACTTACTCTAAAATATCTTCAAAAATGTCGACACTGGAAAGTATCATGTTTGGGAAATCCTCCACTAGCACCAGTCGCTTTTGACTGCCTAATAAGGATTTATAACGAGATGAACGAAATAGGAACGATTTAAAAAAATCGATCTGTGAACCAGTATAGTTACTCGTCTGATCACCCAACGTGTTAATCATGTCACGGTCTACCGGGTTAATCCATTCTTGTAGTTCATATTTTTGCGCACGCGCCAATGCACGTACGGCTGCAGTTTTACCCGAACCTGATGGCCCGGTAAGGAGGCAAATTTGTGCAGGATGTTGTTTGTGCACGGCTGTGCAATGCAATAGCCAGTCTTTCAATTCTGCCAATTTTTTCGGATGCACAGCTACTTCTTCACATGTTTTCGGTTCAAATTTATCAATCCAATTGGAATTATTTTTGGACGATGGAGCTATAGTTTTCGATGCCTCTGGACTTTTATTTGATTGTTTATTGATTTCAATTGTTTTTTCATCATCAGCAACAATACTTTCCTTTTTCTGAGTAACATTCTCTGTTTGCACCGAGTCAAATTTGGATTGATAGGCAAATGCTGAATTATTCCAAGCTCGCTATAAGTATTATTAGTAAAACAATATTTTAGTCAAAAGTTTAAAACACCATTTACTTTACGTGTGGCCGGCTTCATTACAGCTAAACATTTTATATTTACTAATTAGAATTAATATTTAGCGCGGAATCGGCACTAAATTTCAAGTTTGACTGTTTCTAATCTATTTAAACGATAGGGATGCTATATATTGGTTGATAATGATATTTCACATCACTCATATATCGATTATATTATTATTTTAATATCAAAATTATATCGATATATTTTCCATCAATTTTAACTGGTTATTGCCAAAATTAGTAGGTTTAGAGGATTAATTTATTCTCCGATATCTTAAATATACAATATTAATCATTTATTTAGAAGGTAGACAAAATGAGAATGAAAACCATATTTTGATTGAAAGATTCTTCTTTTTCATAAATTTATTGAAAACGGCAGCAGTAATTTTGACATTTGGATGAGCGTTGACGTATTTATTCCTTTGAAATAAATAAATTTTAATAATAATAATCGCAAACGAAGTCAGCGAATCTAATGAAATAATAGTAAATACCGACCATAAAGTTGATATACATCATTATATTTGGTTGCAGTTGCGATAAGTGATCATAGTAATTCCTTTGTTATCGAAACCAATTGCAATCTAATAGCATATTTAATCTAAACTTGTTGAGATTTTTTATTAACACTTGTTATGTTAACATAAACGAATTTCGCAAATTCAAAAATAATAATTTTCACATATGCTTTGTGGAGACCGTTTCTGGAGACTAATTTGGTGAAATAATATAATGTGGCAACGTTTTATGGAAGTATATCGGGAGTTTGCTCTGTGGAAATAAATTCAATAGGAGAAGCTAAAATTGGTCAAATCCTTAATTAAAACTATTTTCAATACATTAAAAGATGTTTAAAATGTAAAGTAATTGTTTCTGCATGATTACGATTTGAAGATCAGTGAAAAATGTATGTTTTTGAAGAGTAAATGAATATTGAAAATTCTAAAATTCATGTAGTTCGCGTTTACTTTTTTATGCAGTCGTTCTTTAAATTTTCCGTCTGTGCGTGTGGTGGGTGTGAGCGGGATAGCAAAAATGTGCGTGCGTGCGTGCGTAAAAGGTGCCAAAGTGGAATTGAAATACACAAAATGGATGAATAATAAAATTATGAAAATAGTAATTGAAAAAAGTGATGGAAATGTGCTTAGAATCACAAGCAATTAATTGAATTTCATGACAAATTTAAATTCGTTGTCACTGATATAAGCGACATATAAAGGCTTGTCCTCTGCCACCTTTTCTCGTAATTACTTAAACTTTGTTTTATCAAGTAGTTTGCTTGGTCGTTTCATTCTTAAATACATACAAGCGGACGGCAGATAATGCAAAATGTAGGAATGTGTGGAAAGAAAATTGCAAAAATAAAAGATGCCTAAAAAATATCTTCAATGCTGGATTATCAGAACTATTTTTGTTAGTAAAAACCACTCCAATCTTACTTGACTTGTGTCATGCTAATGGTTAAATAATTATTATATAAGTATTAAGTGTTTAAAATTAATTAATATACTTTGAACATAGATCAGATCACGCATTGAAAAAGGAAAAAACAAATTGTGGTTTTAACATTTCTTTCCAATACAAATTAGAAATTTTGATAAAAGTTTTAAAGTGGAGATCAAATCCCATAAATCGTAAATATTGGTTGTACAAAGGATGGCAACCTTATAAGTCTGCAGTTGTCGCATTTTCCAATTCTGTACTTTCCACCGGCTTCGCTGTTTTTGTCTATGCACTATTTCTCCAATGTATGTTATGAAGTGAAATATACGACAGGGACAAATAGTGCAACTAAAGAATAATTTTGCAAACGTGTGAACTGAAGTTGTCCAAGAGCGTAAATGAAACAGGGGTCAAGTAAGAAAGGGAGATCCGATAAATACGAGACAGGAAAAAATATGTGTGAGTTGAAGGAAAAATTAAGAGAATATTAACAAAGATGAACCAAGTGCAAAGAAAAGGAAACCAAAAAACCAACAAGAAAGATAAAATAAAAGGAGACAATGAAACGAACGAACCTCCGAGTTTTGTATGTATTTTCATATATATTTGAACAAATGTCTTTTGTAGTGATATTGAAGCTAAAATAACACAATTTTGTTAAATTCTTGTATATACTAGGTATGATTGCAAGTATTTAAGATAAAAGATCATTTTGTTTTATTAAATGTGAAGATATGAGAAAATTTAAAGCGAATTGTAATAAACTAAACGAAGTAACAGAACATTTTGACAATTTGGTCACAAGCGATTCGAGGAGGTTACTCGTCGTGTTCGGCCCAAATGTGTGTAGAAAGTGTAGCAAGGTGCGCGGTGGTGTAGAGCAGGACAGGGCAGAGAAAAGCAAATAAATGAAGGCACATCAAAATGTGAATAAGAGTACGGAGTAAAGTGTGAAAAGTGGAAAATTTGCACAATAAAATTTCTTAAAAAATCAATAAAAAATACAAGAAGCAGAAAGTCCAGTTAAAATATTTGTGAAAATAAAAATTATCATGCGCATCTAAAGAATAATCGATTCTACAACGGGTGCTACATGCAACACAAGTTGTAAAAAAGAAGAAAGAGTTTTTGGTGTCA